TGTTATGATGAAGTTGGAAATGAAAGTTAGCCAAAATAGAAGGTTGGCAATGTTGACCGAGACGACCTAGCGGTTAAGGTCGTCTCGTCCTGTTTCGCAGTGCGAGCAGTGGCCGGGTTCCAATATGATCAAATGCTCCTCGCCTATCACATGCTTTGCATAGGATGCGTCGTTTACTCTTCAGGTACGATTTTTTGTGTTGTTGATTCCTCCGAACGTAGAGAGAGTGCCATGGACCTGACCCTAAGGTCAATATCGCCGATAGTGATTTAAAAAGATTTAAGCTTTTTGTTATCACTATCGCGATATTATATCGGCGATACATTTCGGCATTGGCTTTGGTTTGGTATCGGCGATACTTTTGCTGCCGAGTTTCCAATCTGATATCGCCGATACTGTTTAGACAGAAAAAATTCGATACTCTTTAAATTAAAATTAAATTCAGGATTTAAAATTAAAATCTGCCGTTTCGGCATCTGTTTTTTAAAAACTTGTTTTGCCTCCGCTGTCCTTCCATCACGAAATGCTCTTGTTTTTTTGGGGGGTGGGGGTTAAAACTACTTCAAAAAATTGTTCAGTCTATTAATCAACAACAGTTGAATTATGTAATAAAAAGATTTTTGCTTAAATAATTATGTTTGTTGGGAATAAGTGTTCGAAAAATTTGACAAAAATTGCCATTTTAATTCTGAAAAATTAGTGTTCTCCGATATTTTGTTGCCTCGGGCTCTCCACACCTTAAAATCTCAGCCGTTGCATAAATATTCTTTTTAACTTGTTACAAATTTAGTTATTCAAACAATTTATCGTTACACAATTTTTTCCATGTTGTTATCAATAAAAATAATATTTCGACTTTCATGCACCCCCGTTTAACAAATGCTAGCCAGTATTAGCGCCGGTAACGTTGGTTGATACTCTACAAACCATTTGCAAAATTAAATGATTATATTTATAAAAGTAACATAACAACGATCAATCACCTTGGTACTTCAGTAAAAAGTTGAACGCCTGACCAGGTGATGATGACGTCAGCATAAAATTGATGATGACGTCCACGTGATTACTGTCTGAAAAAAAAATTTCTCGGACGCGCCTGTTCATGTTCGCGCTTGCGCATTCTTCTCTGCCGGAAGTGCGATCACGTGTCAAAAGAAAATTGCGGCGTAAGCAAGATGGAGATTTGTTGCTGTGTTGAATGTAAGGCATCGACGGGAAAACGTTATTTGAAATATTCACTCCTTTATAGATGACATCTTGACTTGCATCTTCGCCATTGTTGTTGTTGTTGCTGCTTGTATATTTGTTGCTGCTAAATAGGAAATAATCACTGTCAAACTTGTTTACTGTTGATCTGTCTACGTTTATTCTTGGATTTGTAAAGTAGAAAATTGTCAGAAGAATGCGAAAATCTTTTTCTGCTACCAGTGACCAACCGCAGTTGTTGTTAACGCTGTGGTTGTTGTTGATGTTGATGTTGACGTTGTTGTTTGGATTAGAGGGTAGTGTGGTAATTGGGGTGTTGACTGATTTGAAGTTTTGATTTCTCGAATGCTGAGGAGAAAGAAACCCATGTTGTGAATGTTGCACGTATATTGTTGTCATTGTATTGCAGTTGTTGTTTATGCTTTTCATGTTGTTGTTGTTGCTATTGATGTTGTTGTTTACGTTGTTGATGCTGTTTTTATTGATGTTTTTGTTGTTGTTGTTGAGGATGACACTCGCGAACGGTAAAAATTCAACTGTGAACAAATTTATTTCTCTTTACGCAATCATTACAATTTGTTATTTATATTTATACTTATTATTTAGAATTAGAGCAGAAAGGAATAACAACAACCACACCAAC